CTCAAAATTTGAGGTTTAATTCGAATCTGATGACAGACACAACAGCGGTAATCTTCCAAAATCGTTTGCTGACCTCAAAACCCGGTGAGTTACCTGGTTCATGAGCACAACATTCGCCAATTCTCAAGACACGGATTAGCGAGGATGATAAACTTTTTTAAGCGTTCATGATCAGTTATTTAACCGATAGAATCTTTACATTGTTTGCCACTAACTAAAACTCATCAACGGTAAGTACTCCATGACAAGTTTTGGTTAAACAGAGAATAGCATTAAGATCAAACCGAATCACGATGAAAGTTCATTTTTTGTATTCGCAGCGAAGGATCTAGAGCGCTGCTCTTGAGGGCGTGAGTGAATTCTTACAATTAAACAAACATTACGTTCTTTCAAGAATGACTCATGTAATTGCCATTTTTCCTGACAAGGACTTCCGCTTTAGAGGCATCTCTACAGGCATACATCAAAATCACTTCTGCTCACGTCCTTCCTTGAGCTGAGAATTTATCACATTAACTTCCGTGGAATGATAATCAGTAATGTTATATCAGGAAATTACTCAATTATTATGGATCCACACTAGATTTGGAACTTTTTTGCTTTGTAGAAAATTCCGCGTAAATCGGAATTATTGTTTATGAACTTCCTCACAATGAATTATATTTTTCATGCCAAACTTCCTCAGGAAATCGCTATTTTGAGGTTGAACGGAACCGATGGCTGCACAGCAAAGAACCTCTGTTTTTACCTAGCAGTTAAAGTTAATGATCTGTGTATTTGCTAAAAACAGTGATAATCAATGATAAAAGATTCCTTCAAGAAAAGGAAATGGTGGAAGAAAATCTTTGGAACGAAGGGACTCAACAATTGATTTTCAAATCTCTCTTCCTTAATTTTCCGAAGAGAAGATAGAAAGGTGGAGATAATTTTGTCACACCTCCCAGCAGTCAATTGGCTTAGCACCTCTGTTAAAGCTGCTGAGAGGACTACTAACTGTTTTATTTGCTGATTGCATGTTTTTTCCTTCGTTCTTCGGGAACATATTTTGTTCTTCGATACGACTGACAAATCCGGACCTTTTTAATAGATCTCATGTTCATACAGCAGAAATTTCACATGGAATGAATAGAAGTAATTTCCAATTTTTTAAACTTGTTGAGGTTAAAAACGAGGGGAGAGACATGAAGATGACTCGTGGATGAATATACAAATAGTACGGACGGAAATGTAGCATTGAAATATATAACCTGGAGTCTTCTCGGTATTTGAGTTCACAAATTGAAAATGGAGTTGTTCATGAGATCATCTTCCGATGTTTTCATCAGTTGTGGTTACTACTGTTTGTGTAGGAAACAGCTGCCTTTATTTGAAATACAAAATTGGAATTCAGCAACAATTTTCTGTACATTTTTTTTAACTCATTTAAGTGTTCGGAAAATGAATGGAAATAATATATTACCATAAACTATTCAGTAAAAACAAGTTATAATAAGGAAGTTGATCATTTTCTATTCCTTTTGATGGCCTTATCCTTTTGGCAGTCTTATCTTACTTATCGCGATCGTGAACTTGACATTGAGAAAGATGTTTCTATGTAAACTACGATTTGAGGCTAAATATTGGAACATTTTCAATATATTGCGAAAAGATGTTCAATTACGAAGAAAATGACTTTACCTAATAAAAATTGATCCCATACAGTAATTTCTTGGAAATTACCCTTCTCATATTTTTAGCCTCTTTCATGTTCTTGTTTTGTTAAGTTAATTCCATGTCGAATTCCCGATTAAGAAAATAGTTATCAAATTTTTATTTAGCGCGCTCGACCGCTTCTCATTAGAGGTGACCTCAGATGTAAACAAGTGATACTTTTCATCCTCCGCCCTAAATTTATAATCAGGTAACTTGTACGAAAAGCACTTAGCTCCTTTAAAGGCAGTAACTTGGGTACGCTCTTTCTTCTCCGAATTTTATGTTGTTATGTAACAGTCTTCGAGTGCTATTTTCCCTTAAGATATCTTTTTAAAGTATGATTCTGATTCTGTCAGTAAGTTATTATACTTTTTATATTGTCAATCTTGTTTTTGTTTTGCCTGACCATGACCGTAAGAGTAAATAATTTAAGGTAGAAATGATTTTGTAAAGCGTCAACATCTCGTAGGTACATACTTAGCGTGCAGGAACTGTTTCTCCTAAGTTAACGTGATTCGCTAACTAAGTGAGAATTGATGACGATACATGAAGATTGACAGCTTAGTAAGTGTCGCCTTTATAAGCTGGTGACCAGCATTCTCACTCAGATCTGAGCTGGTTCCTAAGGCAATAAGTTATGCATCTAACACCTTGGAAGCTCATTTAGAAAAAAAAATTTAAGCAACGAACAGAAAACTGACCACGATAGAAAGATTGCTTCAATAAATTGTTTTGGTGTTCAGCGGTGTTTGCAGTTTGAAGATCAGATGGCCCGTTCTTGATCGTGATCAGGACATCAATGATTAAAATCCTAACGATGGGTAACTGAATGGTTTTGGCGAACTTAATAATTCAACTTACGTCACTTGCAACATTTTTTGCTTGGAACTGATGCAAGCAAATGATAACTTTCTCGCAGTTGCGGAAATCCCTGGAAACGTTTCTGCAAATGTTGTTTATTTCTCGAGAAACGACTATTTCCCATCGAGGATTACGTTAAATATTACCGAGATCTGAGATTGGTGAGGCAGCGCAAAAAAGTAAATTCCGTCAAAATAACCGGATAAAAAGGTAGTTTGTCTGAAATCAATGGCAAACAAGGAGGAAAATTATAATCATAGATATCGGACAAAAGAGAGCTCAAAGTTGCGTTCAGAGCAGTCAATCATAAGACTTGAGCGTTGTTACTTTTGGTACAGATTCTATAGAATTTTCTTCTAGTTCACCGCCATAACACGTCTTATCAAACGGTGAGCAGATAAATACATTTTATCACATAAAATACGGTTTATACTAGGATTTCCACGTCACTCGCACAGCTCGGGCAAGTTAATGAATGAGTGTCGATAACAAAGTCGCCTTCACCATTCTCAATCCAAGGTTGTTTGTCGAAATATTTTTGGATTATGGCCACTGAAACACCGAAAAATCCGTATCGCTTACAGACAGTGACGTTCAAACTTTCCTAGTAGGGGAAGGAAACCAAAATAAATGCGAAAAGAAAACCGAAAATTACGTATTCAGTAGCTTTGATAATGGCATATCTCGCCGCTGAGAACGAAAATCGACAACTGAAAGATTTGCTACAGTCCGCTTTTGGCAGTTTAAAGATTTCTTCTGTCTGTAAGGACCAAGTCAAAAACTGAGAATTTTATATATTGAAAATTAGGCCCATTGTTCGTTTTTGTAGTGATTCAAAGCACGTTTTCATCTTGAGTGCGCCAACGCACTTTACGATTTTTATTTGGGGATTGTCCATCCTTAGATTTTCAGCCATTGATAAAGTCAACTTTGCTTATCAGTTAACTGGGGGCTATTGTGTTTATATGATTAAGAAAATAATATATGCTTCCCATGTAGATATGAAATTACTCTTCTCGTGTTCAGCTAGAAATCTCACTGGTTAGGTATCAAGTTAAACGCGCGCCTAAGTATTATTTTCTATATCCACCACATATTTCAGGCCGCTGGTTATCGTTTAGGCATTATGAAAAGATATTTTACATTCGCAAAAAAGTGAACAAAGACTTTAGTTCGACATCTAATAAACAATGACCCATTAGACCACTTTCTGAAAATCAAAATTATTATTTGATTCTCACGAACTTTGCGTTTCTTGTATCAGAAGATTACGCTGTACCCGAGGCTCGTGAAAATTTTTCCAGTATAGAGAAATTCATTGCGCGCGTGGCAACAATATCACAAAGTACTCGCTTAACTATGAAAGTTTGTTTTAGTTTTTAGGTCAGCATGTTCACTTGTATGTATCTCATACAATATGATTCTTCCAGGCGACCAATACGAACACTGTAAGTGTAATTCAAACACATGCCAATATGCATTTGAAGAAAAAACAAGCACACAAACAAAAACTCAAAACGGCAAAATTATTCCTAACCGCACACTTTAAACTTTCCAAGTCTATGCAACCACCCGCAATAGGAGAAAAGCGAACTCTAGCCAACATAAATTGCCTAAGTAGATTTAAGTACGCTTACAATTTTTACGCGCTTAAAAAAAATATTCCATAAATGGCTGGTATAACTAGAATATTATTTTCGGTAAGTGAAAAAAGGAAACCCTCCAGGGTTCATTTTGCACGTTTTACTGGTTAAAAGTGTGTTAATGTATATACATAGTATATATGTATATTAAGATGTTTATCACAGAAGAATAACAAGGCCTGGCATGTCAGAAAAGAGCTTCAATATTATTTATATGAAAGTGGAACTGATACAGACTTACACTTTCACTTTCAATTTCTCTCTCGCTTTCTAATCTGGGTAAAATTTTACGAACACTTGTATTTTTTCCAGAGCCGAGACAAATTGTTTTCTTCCTAGGGTATCAGCATGAAATTCGTGCCCTGAGCGAAAAGTGGAACAAAATTTTAATGTTTACCTGCAGGTAAGGAAAAAGGATTTATCTACTTTGATTATACAGGGACGACAAAGCAATAAATGTAATGGTTTACAACTTGAATATTCTCTTCTATTTAGTGATAACGAAGAAAGGAAATTGCTAGTCAAGAAATTTGTATTAGATTTCCATTAAACCAATTTCCTGCACCACAACGATGTAATCGTCGACAGGTTGTTTCAGAGACTCTTAGATTATCACAATTAGAAAAAAGCAAACATTAACTGAAACTACATTAAATGGAATTGCTAATGACACCATAAAAAGAAACATTTTCTGTTCTGTCCCCTGAGAATAGATACACAAACTGTGATAGTTGTACGAAAGTGAGAAAGAAGCATCTCGAGGTTAAATAAGAGTTTAAATTTGTCATTTTTTATACACAGAGCTTGGATTCAAATATGGAATTGGGTTTCACCTTGGCATATGCTGTTACTATGATCGTTGCTTTGCAAGGAAACATTTTGCTGATGTACATCGTCTGGAGGAGACATGAGACAAGAACTTTGACGAGTTTCTTGTTTGTCAATATGGCGATTGCCGATTTACTGATTGCAGTATTTCAGATGCCCTTCTCCATGGCGCACTTCTACGTCTCTGAATTCACTGGTGCGGTCGGGAATCTATTCTGCCGATCTGTAATGTATCTTGTGAATGTGTCCATGACAGCCTCGATCTTCAGCCTTGTCGTGATGGCATTCGATCGATATTTTGCTGTTATACACCCTTTTAGGCGAACGATTTGGTTCCGAAGAGCCAAAATTATTCTACCAGTCATTTGGATCGCATCCTGGACCTTAATGGTCGTCACACCATTTTCTTACATGGCCGAGGATAGCCTTGGAAAATGCTTTTATACAGAAGAACATATCCCGCGGGTGCCCTATTGGACTTACCTACTGCTCATCAACTACATCATGCCTCTTGCCATCATTTCTGCCCTGTACATCGCAATTGCGCGAAAGATATGGTTCCACGAAATTCCTGGTCAACTTGAATCTTCCAGACTCCAGCCAGATGAACAGATTCCAAAGAAAAAAGTTCTTCGAACGCTCGTAATTGTTGTGGTGGTTTTTGCGGTCTGCTGGTTTCCCATGCAAGCGCTTCAAATGAACCTTGCAGTGACAGCTGGATTGACTTGGCACCCCATTGCTATCTACTCTATCTATTGGCTTGGTCAAGCTAACAGTGCCATAAACCCCTGGCTGTACATCGGTCTTAATGGCAAAATGAATGCAGCTTTCAAAAGAATGATCCGATGCCACGGGCAGGGTAATACTTTGTCACACAGACTATCTACCGCGACTATACGTTCAAATACAGCCGTTACCACAGTATGAAATCCTCCAGCGGCTTATGATTGAGCTGATGAAAGCATTGCAGATAACATTTTCTAGTTAAACGATTGCGGGCTTGAATGCACATGCTCCATCCAGGATTAGATGAGGCGAAGGAGAAAGTGTATTAGGATCAGTAGACGAAGGCAAGGCCATCAATTGAGCGCTGCGCCTCAATATAGATTGAAACTTTAACTCCCTAGCTTGATATAATGGGGCAGAAAATATCATTTCCAGTGCAAGTTATTTACTTTATGAACGGAAATAGTCAAAAAAGAAGTCATCACTGTTAAATAAGAAACAACATTAATTTGTTTTGACAAATGTTTTGACTCCTTTACCAGAAAGACAGAACCGACGAGATGGCTTTTTTTCTCTAGATAATGACTAAATTCAAATATAAAAATTGTATGAAGGTTATTATTATCAATGTCTGACAGTAATTGCCTGATTTGAAATGCAGATTTCTTCTTTCTAAGGTTAACCGTGACCTTTAATGCAACGACCATAACGATTGTTTTTCATTTAACAACGTTTATCATTAAGCTGATTGGCTACTACAACACTTTTTTCAAATTTTTTCCTTTTTTTACAGAATACCATCGTTTCCTAACGGCGTTCAACTTAGCGTGTTTATTTTCTTTTAAAAACGATATTGTCAAAAAGTGTCTCAGTCGCAATTCTAACTTAACAACTCATAACTTCATATGAGTCAGCAGGGATGTTTTGATTCTGTGGTTAAAACGTTACAGAAAGCTGACTAACCAGGACCACTTTTCCATCAACTGCTCGTTAGAAAGCAATATTATCTAGAACGGTTCGTTCGTACATTTTTAATTCTTAAAGTTCTGGTTTACCTTTATAAAATGAATTCAGAGTTTCCGAAAAATGAAACAAATAAGATATTTTGTTCAAATTCACACATACTTTTTATTGGGCGCTGTTTTTAGAGTAAATTTCGCGGATGCTGTTTACCTGTATCAAAACTTTATCACATTGTACGTCAAAAGTGCCCAAAATTCAGAATCTCGTGATATAAGCCGGTAGTCGAACGAGTGTAAATATGGCCGACATCTTCCCCGTAGCGATAATGCTTCTTCTTTGCTTTTTACATAACATTGTATTTTTTAAAAGCGTGGGGTAAAGAAAATAAGCAAAATTTGTTCCAAAAAATGCAATCTTTTTACCGGGTACTGCTTTTTATTTTTAGATTCGTGAATGCTGGGTTAGTCTGCATTTAAAAAAAAGTCATTCATTTAAAACGTAAAAGAAACCAAATATTGTGCGTCAGTGCTGCCCCGGATGTAGGAATTTTGCGTTTACTTTTATTTATTGGCCAAAATTGACTATAGCGTGAAAGCCTTGTAGTTCACATAAACGTCAGCTGTAATAAACATGATCTGGCTTATTCACCCTTGAAAATTACGCAAAATATGAAAATATATAAAGATTCAAATTGTTCATGCTGTGATCGCTCCAAGGAGGCCAATATGCCAAAGAAGGGGCTAATTAGAGTGGAGAAGGGTGCTTATGAAAAACTCACAGATAGCCTCAATAGGAATCATATTTCTTTTGTTTCAATGCAATCCAAATTAGATCCAACTTCAATGAATACCGTATACAGCAAGCGTAGTTAAAACGGAACCAATGGAGGTTCTGAAATAGAGGATAATGAGTGCTTTTTGAAATGACCTACCCAAGTGCAGAGCCGCAATATGGATAACCATTTTCATACCATTATCATAACAGTATGATTTTGCAACATATGTTTATTTTGAAGTTTTTCTGTTTATATGAAAAGGGTACCGAGAGTTATTGCAGAACGGAGGGCTTATCAGAAACTTAACACCATTGACGGGAGGCGTATTAGCATGTTAGAAACTTGACAGCGCGTTTACAGTACAATAATTAACGAAACAGCAGTCAAAAAGCAAATAATAAACACCTTTTATGAGATATCTCCTTTAAACCAGGCATATTCAGCTTCAGGTATAATGCGAGAAGAAGTTGTCCAGCACGACAGATATTAGGCTAAAATGTTTCTTATGTCGTTTGTGTTTAACGACCAATTCGAAATTCGTCCACATTTGGTCGTCATTTGGTCAAAATCGAGAGTTAACAGGGAAAATTACCTTGAAAATTTCCCTTCTACTGATCTTAATGGCATCAGTGTTTTTTAATGGTACTGTTTTATATAATCCGTTTTAACGTAAAATAAAATGGCTCTGGCCCAGATACTGATATTGATCCGGGAAATCGATGTGTTTTACCGAAATTCGGACGACGAGAAGGCTAACGACCCGTGTACCTGCCGTACCGTAGATCTAAATTATATACATGATGATACAATAATAATAATAATAATGGTTTCTTGAATGTGCTTCCACGAGGTGGCTCTTCGCCCTCCAATCACCTAACCGATTATCACATTTAATGAGCTTTATTTACAATAAAATGAACGTAACTGACAAATAATCCTAAGCCTACCGAATATACAAAAAGTTTGCTTAGCTGTATATCTAAACTATAAGAGATCTCTGAATGATCGTGAGACATTAAACTGTTTCTTTCGTTTTGCAAGAAAATTTTGCGCTTTAAAATTTTTCTTGCGTAAGGAATTACCTCAAAATTCCCTTTTTGGCAACTAATCATATGTGATATAGGGATATTACGATGTAAATATTGTACTTGTTATCGATCTATGTAATTGTGTAAATAACTTTTAAATCAAGCGGTTCTTCAGAAGAACCGAAAGGTAATTGTAATGCTTGGCTTCGAATTTAGCTGTCCATGAGTTTCTGTCTTTACTGTTATTGTTAAGGTGACCAAATGTAAAAAGAAAAATTAAAAAATAACGAAAGTTATGAGTCTCGAGAATTTCATGGTTACAATCGACAACGTTAACTTCTCAATCATTTCCTTCTTCTTTGTTTTTCGCTCCGACTTAGCCTCTTCCGATCACTTTTTCACGTCCGCTCCTGATTAGCTCAAAAAACGTGAGTCACACCGATCTATTGTCCGTATTCTACGACATGATTGGTACTCTCACTGCGATTTAGACAAATCTAAATGTTTATCATTAAGGCTGGGGAATTTTTTGCCTTCAGATATTGAAAGCTGACGTACTAATTCTAATGCATCTTGATACCTTTTCAAAGCGAAAAACACATGTAAGGTGAAGTATAGGTAAGCGATAAAATTGAATTTCAGGCACGATAGTGACATTTTCAACACCGAAGATCTATTTAGTAAACATTTAAGGATCTCGTCGTCCAAGAATTAGTTTAGAAAATTTGTCTCTAGATAGAGCTCATTAATCGAGGACATTATTGAACAGCTGCCTCTTCTCTTTACTGTGTGGTATGGTTTTGCATCTTAAAACAATTTCAAAGAGGAAACACACCTCAGGTGAACTATAGGTAAGCGATAATTTTGAATTTCAGGCACAATGGTAACATTTTTAACACCGAAGATCTATTTAGTAAACATTTAAAGGTCTCTTCGTTCAATAATTAATTAACAAAATTTTGAAATAGAGTCAATTATTTGCAGCCATTCTTGATCAGCCGCCTCTTCTCTGTTCTGTGTAGTATGGTTTTTCATCTTAACATATTTTCAAAGAGGAAACCTCCTCAGGTGAAGTTTAAGTAAGCGATAATTTTTAATTTCAGTCACGATGGCCGGATAACATTTGAAACGCCGAAGATCTATTACGTAAAAATTTGAGGATCTTGTCGTCTAAGAACTTGTCAATAAAATTCGTTTGAAAATAGAGCGCATCAATCGCGCAGTTCTTGGTCACCTGCCTCCTCTCTGTACTTAGTAAAATGGTTTTTCTGCGGTTTTCAAGGCTCTTACGTTCTCTTTCCTTAAATATAAAGTCATTCGGTTTTATCAACCGATTTGATAATGTAAATTAGCCACCGTAAAGATTTGCTACAGGTGACTTTGTCACAAATATATCTGCTAACTCAGTTTAAAGGTTTTACCGCGAAAAGCCTGACAGAATGGGAAAACTATATTTATATGAAAGTATAGCTGATACAGACCTTCACTTTCACTTTCACGTTCTACTGTGGGTAAAATTTGACGAACACTTGTATTTTTTCCAGAGCCAAGACAAAACGTTTTCTAAATATTTTTGAAATTTCGAAAAAGAACGTAATGTTTGAATATGATGTTGGTTTTCTCAACATTTTCTGGATCTAGGAACGTATTCTAAGCGTCCCTACTAGATTTGGTCTGCTGAAGAGAAAAAAAATGATATAAAATAATGGTTTTTTTTGTTTTCAATTCAAACTGATAACTCATGATCACATCATTGAAGAGTTTTGATATCATGAGGATACTGATATAAGTTCGTCTTTCCTATTATAAACGTAATGGCAATTTTTTTAGAAATAGATATAAGACCTACAGAGCTTTTTCTATGCAATTATTTCATTCACCACCAAACATTGCAACTCTCTGATCAAGCCTAACAGCCTGCTTATGAATAAAATAAAATATTATTTATCATCTTTAATTGATAATGAATACTAACAAATTTGACGTTTCCATGACAACTTTATTTGAACAAGTGCTTTTGATATAAGCCAGGAAGTTGTATACTCTGAAAATAGATATACAAACCGTGATAGTTGTACGAAAGTGAAGAGAAAGAAGCATCTCGAGGTTAAATAAGAGTTTAAATTTGTCATTTTTTTAAACTCGTGAATTGCGTGCATGCGCAAGAGCGAGTTGTAGATGTGATGTGGAGAATGGCACTTGCTCGCTCGCTTGGTCGATTCCTGTTAACTTTTTTTTCAATTTTAGGCTTTTGAGTGCACTTTTGGCGGGTAATAAACAAAAGAAATGATGACCTCTGCTGCTAAGAATAGTGGTGAGGTGAAAAAGAAGCCAATAATAATCTTAAAAGAGTTATTTTTTTTCGTTTTAGTTTCAACAAGCGGCGCTACCGACTGGCAGGCGTGCGAGGATTCACACTGAAATAAGAGAACAACTTTCGTTTTCCATAAAATTGTAATTTACAATCCTTGAACTTGAAAACAATCCGAAGATTCACTAAAAATATCACTTACTCCGAAGCGCTCGAGTTTTACAGGTGTTCAAAAGCTTTTTCTGTTATGGCGTGAGATTGGGGACAAAATTGATCATTATATTTCGTATCGTGTGTTTTTCCTGTGTGAAGCAACAAAAGGTGCCGGCGACTGACGAAATTACAGGTTAACTCGAAAATCAAATAATACCTAAACAAAAATTTTGGCCACCGATTTCCAATAAATTTTTAAAGAACAATTTTCTTTCTTTTTCTTTTTTTTTCAAGATTCTAAATAGATATTACGTACCAAAATGCAAAACTTATACACCACAAAATGGATAAATAGGCCTGAAATGAAATGCTATCTTGTTCTTGATGA